TCTTCAGCAGGCCGTCCCTTATTATTCTTTTCTAGATATATATTCAGAGCACTCTACTCTTGAACAGAATTTCTTTTTCGGCACAAAGCAATGTATCATTATTCCATAGGTGTCACTGCTGCAATAGCCAACTGTTTAGAGCATTGTAGCTACTGCAACGGCCAAAAAGAACAACACCCACCGTAGTTCTTTCTTACTGTGCCGTTCCCACATCTCACGAGTTTTAAAGGTACATTATTGAAGAACCCAAAGTCGGAGATCTCCTCTGTAGAGCGAAACCTAGTCTTATTGAAAATTACTCACAACTGAACCGATTGTGAATCCCCAACTGGATTAACCACCACATGAACACTTGGCAGACACTAGTTAGTGCTTCGTCACTCGATCACTTGGCTGGCATGATCGTTGTTATTTCAGATTAGTAGCAGCAGCAGGAAGTTTGTGCGCTTGCGATAGCTATAGCAAACATTCTGATGAACACTCTTCTCCTCTGCGCCAAAAAGACAAAGTATGAAATGGCACTCGATGAAATATGGCTAAGATTGTCAATAGGGGCTAAAAGTCGCCAAATTGAACTCTGAGGTTTTGAGAATGTTGTCTGCATTCTAGACGAAACCAATAATTGTAATATATATCAAAAGTAATGCAGAGGTTGTAACAATAGGATAAACGGCAAATAAGAAATTAGTAGAAGGTAGAGAAATGAGGATCTCAGAATAGTAAATAGATACGAAAGCGAAAGATGGCTGAGAAATTTGATCTGAGCATGTCATTAGCTGAATTTCCTTGTCCATCAATTCGCGTCTATCACTGCTAACATCGATTCCTTTGGAGGATAGACTTCTTTGGAGGAGGAAACAGCAAGGAAACTCCGGCATCATGTTCCTAAGGAATCACTGAAGCACTAAGACGTCGTCACCGCCATGACAACCGAATCGATTTTTGTCCATCACTGGGAAGTTGCGGGTATTGATTTTTCGAGCAGGACTGTTTATCCGTTTGAAGCATACGAACGGAGGAACAACGGAGCGATCAGACGTGGTACCAGCAGGTCGAAGTTAAGCTAAACAGCCACAGAGATGGACGGAAGAAAAGCGCTGAGGTTCTTTGCCGTTCTGCTGGTAGTGCATGGAGGATCGGTGAATGGCAAGATAGCAGACGTGTGGGAGATCTGGCCACCGAACTACTCTCCTCACTACGGAATCAATCCGTCATGGCTAGAACCGCTGAGAGGCGCTAACAGAGGCAACGTGCTGCGCGACGTCGAGCACCTCGGTCACAGCAGTCTCTGGGGCCACCAGTACACGCAAGGTAAAGTACACGACTATCTATAGGTCATGTTAGGCTGATCAAATGATTAATACAGGTGGCGCTGGGGAGGGTAAACAAATGATTGGACCGGAGGGAAACATCCCGAACAAGGATGAAGTTAAATCGGACGCAGTCCTGCCGTCGTTCTGCGAGCCGCCCAACCCCTGTCCTCCGGGAATGACCGCTGAGGACGGCTGTCTTGAGGAATTCATCAACAACGCTGAGTTCTCACGTCAGTACCAAGCGAACCAGGATTGCTTCTGCGACGAGGACCACATGTTCACCTGCCCCCCGAACC